CTAAAGAGGGAACGTAGAGGAGGATATTGTCACAAGCCTCTGGAGGGAGGTAGCCATTCTTCCCTGGTTTGGGGTTGGTACATGTTTGGGTTGATGCCAGAGCACTGGTGGTAGAAGAGATTGAAGCTGTAGTTGTACTCATGGCGGCCAGCTAGTGAGTCTTGTCACGATATTCGAAATTGATTGAGATACTTCTTTTCGATGTCTAATATACTGGCCGAGATGCAGCACGATCTAGGTCTATATACATCTCATTCGGCATCAACAGGATCTCGCCATCAGGCAGACATACAATCGATAAAAATAACTGACAATAGGCCAGTTTCATCTCTGCAAGACAGACAAATAAGAGCACATCCTGGCCATGATCTCGAGTTCTGGAAACCTGACAGGATGCTTGGCAATCCTTCGAAATATACGAGCAGTGCCAAGAATAGATTATCTTAGGCAGCTACCCGCGCTTTCCCATGACAGGCATAGTGCTGCTCTTGTTTCACGCTCGGACCAATAGTATCGTCTGCTGATGAAATCTCGCCCCATCAAGAAACACAGATTTGTGAGGCATAACAGCGTAAACAGCCACCATTGTTTGCTAGATCTTACCATGATCCTGCTGCTGTTTAGCTTCCATAAAAATAGTAGTAAAGATCCATCTTCCGTTTTCGTTCCCTAGATTTCAGAATTACTACTACATAAATGTTATGGAAAGCAGTAAGCACTGCGGGCTTCGACATATTTGACACAAGTACATACTCGAGCCGCTCAGCATCACATGGACTGTACTAGAAGCATTCAGTCATATTCGGCCAAGGTTACATTGAAGTAGACCAGAATTCTTAGTATTGTCTAGTAATCTATCGACACCGAAAAGAAAGAAGAGCCCTGCCGATCTATCTCCCAGCCATCCGTCAACCTAGTCGTGCCGGCATGAAGACAGTAGTTTCTAGTTCTTGCACAGCATGTACGGCACAATTGCCTCAGTTAAAGCCCGACCAGACTTGAGCCCGGCACTACGCATTGTAGGACGTACCTAATAAATCATAGACGTCTTCCAGAACATCTTATCGAGAAGAGGCTCTTGATAAAAGGTTATAACTCATGGTATTCATATTAACAATGCGGATTCAATTTTCATTGCATACATGGCAGTGTATTGAGTCAAACATGACCTCGACACAAACAAAACCTACGAAGCCTGATAGCCGATATGAGACTTCACCTCTACCAAGTAAGACTGTCTCCTACCAAACACATTAGCGGCCGTGACCTGAAGCCTCGACAGAAGAGGTACATGTTTCATATAATGAACTTACCTTTCGACTGATCTCTCACCAATTCGGTACGCACTTGCCCTGCGCAGCATCAATGCTCAAATCACATTTCTCCCACCAGCAGCATGATCGACAACCCTCCCATGTGCAACAGTACTCGCCAGTGTGCGCTCGGCAGTCCTCGCCCTCTACACTCCACCTAGCACGAACTTGGTGATGAGAAATAGGAAATCACCCACCACCTTGAGAAGGAACATATAATCTAGCGAGGAATTGGCGGTCACCTATCGGAACGCGAGCCGCAGTCACCATTCCAATGGCAGTGGTGAATGCGAAAAGACCGATGAACTTCATCTTGGGGATGGATATAGATCAATATAGGAATAGTAGGCAGATATGGGTGAGTGGATTACCGAAGACTCGATGAAGGAGAAGGATGGATGGGGTCATTGGGGTTTCTTATGTGCGCTTGAATTTGGTAGGGCTGTCTATGCCCGCATTGATGATGGACATGTTTGCTTTTTGACTGGGATGTGTGTGATGTCCGGAGAGCATGGTATGCACTGGACGATCCTTCCTCGTGTATCGTTGAGAATAGCCAATCATCCCATGAAGGGGCGATTGCGATAACAGGTCAAGCGTGCGGGGTTGAAGTGGTTCAAAGTAAGATCTCATAGGATCTGCCCTTGCGTTGCTTATTGCTTAGTTCAATGATAGCCTGGCCTGCATTGTGGTTTCTTCGTACGGATGGCTAGCTGACTTCCAGCAAGGCCTTGCTCATTATGGCAGTTTGCTTGGAAGCTAGGTAAATTGGACTGTTGATAGGAAGAAGAGCCTTCTTGAGCTATCAAGGTATGTATTGGTCATCCGCCTCACGTCCATACGTAGTAGAATTTGCTACGTTTGTTATGGTCGTTTATGCTTACTCCATAGTTTGCGATAACGGAGTAGGAGATACTAATTCTGCCCGACCTATATCTCTAGGCTGTTGTGATCAAAGATTGCAGGGAGTCCACACTGGCCGAATGCAGGACCGAGAGCCATTACTGTAACTAGTAATCACCCCCGCTCAGACCTAATACCCACCTTTGATCCACCACGCTGTTAGTGGCCGATGCTAATGATATTTTATCGGTAAAGCTGAAGGATACATTTGAAGGGCTACAGGAGTTTCGGGGATGTCCGTTACCAGACACTACCAATGAGACAATAGATGTGGTTGAAAGGGTACCGCAAATAGTGTGGTGCGCCTACCCCACGCAGTGACTCAGTGCTGCGTTGAGCGCGCAGCAACTCAGAAAAAGCAACTTTGAAAAAGCAATGAAGTGAGGTATGGAGAAGGACTTGTTTGGTTCCACGGGAGCGGAGAAACTCATGAGATTGGAGAGGGGACCCCAGATGAAGAATTGCGTGATATGCAGGGTGTCTTAATGTATTCTTAGTTTGAGATATTTCATCACAGAATGCTTTCTCTATAGACCCTGTGACAGTGACCCATAAGGTTATGAGTGTAACCGTGTGATTACTTCTGATCGCAACGAAGAGATCTGCATTTCATCTGGCCATGATCTATGCAGCCCTGTCCTATCCGACAATGAGGACAAATGATGAGTGCCCAATCTTGATGCTATCTCCAGCCTCACTCATCTACTGATTGGTTCTCATGGATTGACTGGTAGGTATTAGCCAGGTGGATTCCCTGTTGCTGGAAAAGTCAATGATCATGGCTGGGTCAGTCGTGGACCGGACGGCTCGGAAGAGGCCAGAGATTCGGGATCTGAATTGCCATAAGCATGATGTTTTAATTGGAGGAAAACAGTGTCCGCTGTGGTTCCTTTTGGGATCTACATCTCCATCCAGACTAGCTCGGTCTCTTTTGCGGCTGAGGATATGCAATGCATTGGTCTGTACATACCTACTGCCTACTTGTGAGTAAGAACAAGTCACTTTCAGCTGAATGCCGATCACTACAATGACTATCCCTTATTAGGCTGGAGAGTAATGCACGGATCACCGTCCCTCGGGGTTTGGGTCAGATGTACGTTGATCACACCGCTGAACAACTTTGCTTTTGTTGGTTTTGGCTCACTGAACGAACATCAAAAGGTATAAAGAAGGGCTATGTTGTATCAAGATCGAATCTCCAACCATCCTGGATTTTATAACTCACTCCTCGAGAACATCTTGCTGGTATCTTCGTTTCTTATTTTGAACCGTGCAATCTAAAAGGCTTTCAATATGAAATTCCCCCTCTTTATCGCAATTTCTGCCTTCGCTGGCTATGTTGCAGCAGCGAGTATTCCACTAGAACAGCGAGATGATTCTTGTAGCGTGGTGGGTGAATACTGCTGCACATGGGAAGGCTGTAAAGACTGTTGCACATACTGTGAACTGAGCATTGATGCCGCTCAAGGATACTGTCGCTTCGATTTCTGGTGAGGATTCCTTTACCCGTCCGAGTGATCTGGGTTCTGAAGTATACTAATGATCTCGAGGTAGAGACTCATCAACGAAGGAGGCGCTCAACCAAGTAGTATAGCGCCATTGGCCGTGAGGATGGATAACCAAGTGGATGGACGACTTCCAAAGGATTATAAGGACAACTTAGTGGAAAATGGGTGTATTAAGAAATACCCGGGTCTGCGTCTACTTTGCAATGAACTGGGTTTGTTTCTGATCAGATAGATAATGTTTCTCATAGCGAATGTCAAGTTACAATCAATGTGCAATGGGAAGCGAGCGTGGCAAAACAGCCGAGGAGGCTAACAACATCTCAGAGAGAGCGAATTGACCGGACCATAAAGTCCAGTGCCTAGCAAACATTCAATACGTCAATAATGGTTCAAGGATATAAATATAGTAGTAAAAAATATCATGAGGAAGTGGTGTCGGACAGCCGCTGCACGAGATTTCGCCGATAGGCACTTGTAAAACAGCCCTTATGTCAGGCCAGCCGCATTGAGGTTTTCAGAAAGGCGTTCTTGATGTAGCCGTTTTTCTGTTCGGGGCACACTATCAGGCTTCGCCCAGTAAATGTAGGCGGTCTCCAAAAATAGGCCCATGAGAGTAGTGAAACTGTAACGAGTCAGCAATGAGGATTCAGCGGACGTTTTCGAGTCACTTACAATGCAATGAAACTAAATGCCTCGGCAGTATAGCTTCGGGAGCAAGATACTTCTCCAATCCAGCGGTTCACGCGACAGGTTCTGCGGTTGAAGTTCAGAGCGAGCAGGATGAACGAGGTGAGCCACCTATAGTGATCAGCATTGACCCTCAACCAGCCTAGCTCTAGCATCATAATACTACTTACAGGTAGGATATGATTGCATCGGTGACAAGTAGTGGGATAATGTGCCACTTGGCACGACGTGCTAAGCAGCTGATGCCTACAGCTACAGCTATGACGACCAGACTCGTTGTAGCCTGTACCAAGGTGAGAATAAGACCTTTTAAAAAAAATGTACCTCAACAGACCACTTACAATGACAAGTGAGAAAATAACACTGAGAGTCTTGTTGTCCTCACTCACAGCCCAGGCTGTAATTCCCAGGACTATGATCGAGCTGATGGCTTGGATCGTCCGAGCAAACCAACCCGCTAGCCCCAGAGGATGGCTAAGGTAATCATGCATGATGGGCGACTCAATATGAGAGGTGGTATACGACACAGGAGATGTAAAGGTAGATGAGTCGCAAAATGCGCATATGAAGATAGGATTGGTTTCATGTTCCGCTTTTCATCCCGGCCCGTATATACAGTCCGCCAGAGTCTATGATCTCATCGGTTGTGGGGACCCGACCTCAACCACGGATACAACAAACCGCAAACCCTATTGGATGTGCGTACATATGAGATATAAATGAGCAAACTCATATTCTCCAGCAGTGGTTGGGTGATCATGAATGTGTGTTGCTCGCCCCAGGCTATATCCTATGGTACGACCTCCTTGGCGGGAGACTCACCAGGACATATCTTCGCTCGACAGTTGAACCTTGCAATAACCAAATCTACCTATCAACAATGAATGGCCTAGAACCACGATTTAAACCCAACAATAATATAGTAAGGCCAACTAAGGAAAACCAGAGCACATTGCTGTGCCATATTAACACTGGTAATGCAAGCATCCACCTCTTCACGCGGAACTGTCACCACCCCAGGAAGAGAACTGCCTGATTGAGTGCGTTACCCCGTTCGCATTCTGATCCCGCGATACAACACGCGAAGTACCATTGTCTCTCATTGCCCTCCGAAGAGGAGACATCCCGTGCGAAGGCCTCGGTACGTCTGGCTCTATCCAGCCCTTCTTATGGTCCACCATCGCGTTCATGACCAGCTCACTCCATACCTTATCGGTTGGGGTGAAGGGGCACTCAAAGGCCCACTCCAGAAAGACTTGTGCAATGTGTCCGTTCTCGGCTGAGGCATTATTTCTTGCTTCCGATTGTATTGAGGGTGTATGGAACGACACCTCGACAGAACCGCCGTAGGCGGTCTTCTGTGCCAGGCGCTCGATATGAGTTCTGAGAGCAGTGCAATCCCCATTCAGAAAATGACCCGATTTGTGAAGAGTCCAGCTGAAAAACGACATGAGTTTGTCAGTATAAAACGAGGCAATTGGACCGAGTGATCCAGAAGAACTGACCTTTGCTCGTCTGCATCATCATGGTTTAACCAGTCATCAAGTCATCCGCCCAATATATCTTTGGGGTCACCGTTATCGCAGTCAGCGGAGTAGCTCCAACAGCGAGATTCCACATCATTTTCTGTCAGGAACTTGGCCGATCTTATACCGACTGTTTTCGAGCAGTCGACCCAAATATCAAAATCAATAATATTGTTATCTTCATTGACATTATGTGTCCCGAGTAATTGCAGTGATGCTTTAGGTGGCGCACTCAAATGCTCCGTCAGAGAAAGGTTAGCGTTCCCTGCAGAAAGAGCCATGGTGTCTTTTCTTCGAAGCCTTGGGTTTATGAGGAAGTTTTTAAAGATGAAAACAGGAAGGATTTAGCTAAATCGGTTCGTGAGGTTGTGTTCCCCCAATGATGATGATGGATGACGGAGAACAGAGCACGGTCTGCGCGTCCTTGTGTCAGCCTTGTGAGCTCCTCGGCTCACGAAAAAGTCCAATTACCTAGCTCATGTTGTGTGCTTTGGTAATGAGTCATCTTGTGTAGCGCAATTAGTAGCGAGGTTCTGATCCCTGTACGATCTGACAGGGTATGTTTCAGCGTTCATGCGGAGAAGTATACCCGGATCGCCGATTCCCGGGTTTACCTAACGATATTACTGGATGTCGTTAGGCGTTAGCATTAACCTGTAGGATATCTCGTCAATTACTGACCTCAGGGGGGTAGGTCGTAAGTGATGCTTTAGGGAGATGGAATTTAAAATTCCATGTAAATTCTATGGCCACGGCCCAAGGCCACTGACTGATGCCTGAGGCAGTAGTGTCTCAGCTGCGAGCCAATTTCGGGATAACCGAATGGATGGGATTAGTGGAGTGCATATATATCAATACAGTTCTAAATTCCAAGGACTTAAGCGTCACTCGTCCTGTCATGTGTTCATTGATGTATATTGATCTTCCTGCCCCAAACCAGTTACGTGAAGAGGCCAAATTGGCCCCTCGTGCATAGAAGCATCCAAGAGAGTCGCCTGGTTTCTCTTTTATCCTCTCCGTCCTTGGTCCATTTTCTGTTTACCTGTCAGGCTTCGATGAAGCTTGGCGTTGACTGATGTAGACTTAGTGATGAATTGCCTTTTTAGTAATGAAAAGAGTATAGAGTCGAGTGTGCGACGAAGAGGCACCCTGGCTCGATACCGAAGGTTTCTACGGCTCATCGATATGTTTATGTAGTACACTAACGGCAGTTCTAGCCGAAGTTACATATGTACAGTGGGTCATCCATTTTATAATTTCAATTTTATGGAAATCATATTCAATTTTATAGATAAACTAACGCGATGGCAAAAGCAATTGTAGGAAAGCGATATGGAGAAAAAAACCCGGAAAACACCAACTGTAACAGGAGCACACTCTTGTAGACTCAACTACTGTGCACGACCATTCCATCGACTCGGCCGCAGTACCGATTATAGGTATCCCCAAATGTCTCATCCTCACCAATGCATATTTTGTACGTCACTCTAGCGTAATATTCAGCGTGGTCAGCAAGCTCAGGTGCCACCTCGCCATAAGTGCAGCAAAGGATCATCCAACACCGGACAAGGACGTCCATTGCCAGTCCCCATTGTGTGACACGCAACTGCCTACCTTTTTTATACGGAATTTGCCAGCCTTCAATCACGTAGCCGAGGGATTCCAGCGTTCTGATAGCATATCCAATAGCTTTCCGCCAATGACCATGGGTAGCATGCACTTCTGCCAAAAACAGTCCTGTTTTACAGATCCCAAGACGAGGCACTTCCAAAGGTGATCGCCGATACGTTTGCTCAATCATAGCAATAGCGGCTTCTGTCATGGTGATTGCAGCAGTCTGCTCTTGAAGACTGAACGAGGATTTGTAGGAGTTAGCTATGTAATTCATGGACGAGTCCGAAGCAGCCATGAGTTCTCGTCGCTTCGCCAAACCAGCTTCCCCTGTTTCGCGCACATCATGACAAATAGCGCAGTCACACTCGAATCCCCAATATTGCTGATATACGTTTTCTGCTGTACCGTCATCCACGGGTGTTCGATAAAAGAATTTGAGCTCTGTGTTTGCGGGAAGATCCTGTGTAGCGCGAAGTACCATCATATCTCTGATGAATGCACGGTATGTGTTCGGATAACAGCAGTGATTTACGTAAGATGCGAGACGCCAGATTCCGCTGGAATCAAATCGTTCATTATCAGTGTCAAGATCCCCGTTGTCGGCATTGATCCTGCAAATGTGGGCTGTACGTGAGGTGACCGGGCAGCCGAAACCATTAAGTGACATTACTCGCTCAGCCAGATAACTGGAAATGTCAGTAAATCTCATGTTGTTCGCACATGATTAGTAATACTTACGTATCAACGACGGATGAACCGTCGACCTCAGAGACACCCATATACGTATATGAGCCATGGTACAGATCATTAAATGTCGGAATTAACGATGGGTTGTTGTGCAGCTTTCGTACGATGAGACTATTCAGTTCGGCTTGGGTACCTACTTTCATACTGTCTGTATCGGCGTACACCAATATTGAAACGTTGGTCATATCACCCTCTTCATGGAAAGCATACGCAAAGGCCTTTTCACAAAGAAGTAGGTCACCGGCACGGACCGCCTGTGTTGTAAACAAACCACGTCCATGGGTAGAGGGCCTCACCTCAACAGGGCCAACATACGTTGCGTGGTCCGAATGTGGGGGTTTGAGTTTCGTTGCCTCCTCCTGCATTTCTTTGAATGGATACTTGCCAGTCTGCTGCTCTGTGAGTCGCGCTGCCGCCCGTGCAAACTCACTTTTAGCTGTGGCATTGTTTGGATAGGCCTTGCAAAGATCTACGTAAACATCACAGCACTCTCGAAATCTCTGAAGATAGTAAAGGGCCTGAGCTTTACGGAACAATGCTTTCTCGGCAGATCTATCCTTGGATAGGATGTGCTCGACATCACACAGGGCCGCGTCGAACTGATGGGTTTTGAGGAATGCCTGAGCACGATTAAGCCTTACGGTAAGCTCTTCCTTGGGAGTTGTGACACAATTCAGAGCCTTAGAATAACTGTACCATTGTTAGCGTTACTTTATCGTTTTATCAGTTTCACGTTAATCTGTACCAGTTTATAGCAAGATGATAGTCCTTCTCATTGTAGAGATCGTTGCCCGTTGTTTTCCAGGAGTTAGCAGAGATACCATCTTCTGACCCATCTCTCCAGATTGAGGGCACCAGGGAGTCATCCTCCAGGATGAATTTGATATCAGAAAGATGGTCGACCCGCAGTCCACAATCTCCATCGCCCATGACTTTCAGATAAGGCTCTTTTATAAGCACAATAGTTCCATCAACGAGACGCCCATCAGTTACAAGATCCCTGTCCTGGTTATACAGCTGCAATGCAAGAACGTCTCCTTCCTCATCTTCCACCACGGCCACGATTCCTGTCTTCCTAAAAGCAGGAGTAACTGCTCTCAAGAGGATGTAAGAGCCACGATGATGAGTCTCGATAGTAAGATCCTTGATGGGAATCTTCTTCAAATCTCCCAATGCTGCAATGGAGGGTGGGTACGCAGGAGGGACAAATGACGTGCGAATCGCATTTTTGTCCACGGGTGTGGTAGTCTCCGCCAAGTAGCGATTAACAAACTGGTTTATTATCTCCTCGCGGGACTTTGTCAGTTCGACTGGCTGACCCCTGCGAGATTGGGCATCCTTTAGGATTTGCCTCTGTTCCTCCAGGTATTGCATGTATTTAGGAACGCGTGAGGCGTCGTGGCATTCCATCTTGTTGGTCGGTTTGGGTTAAGGTATGAGGTCGGTGTGACTTGTTGCGCGATGACTGAATATGTAGATGAACGAGGACTTGAATGAGAGCGAGCGTGAAGATGGGAGGAGAAGGAGGAAGATTTCATTTAGTAGAGGTGAGAAGGAAGTCGGGACGTCAGTGAAAGCAAACGAGTAGTGAATGCAAATGAACGAGTGCAGCAGGAACTTGCCGTACTTTCATGCTTCACCAGATGAATCGCTTTCTCTACTTCGCAATAACAGTGCGAGATTGCTGACAGTAAGGGATAGAAACATTACTGAGCACACAGATAGTCACTAAACCAGCCTTCACTATAGTCATATATCTCATCACTAGTCATCAGGATGTGCGAATGGCATCACGTGCATTATTGCTACTATGATGGAACTTTGCGACTCAGCGAAATATAAAGTAACACTGAAATAGCGGTTAGATCCATTATGTATGCAGGCCTAATATAGTATCAGCGAAGTGACTTCATGCCTATTCGAATGATCATGCTAGCTAAAGAATATGGCTGTAGCCACCTCCCATCTCGTACCATTCCTTTTCTCCCCTCTACTCGCCTGCTCGAGTCGAACAGACCTCCCAAAAAATGTCCTAAGACTGAACAACCAACAGCGCAGTATGGCAGTACAGTGCACTGACCATATCCCTGCTACACCGTCCCATTCGACACCAAACTCCATCCCAGCAGAACTTAAGCCGCAAAAGTAACCGGACAGGCACACCAGAGAATAAAACTGACTCGAGTTTCAACAGTTTAATCTCCATAAATTCTACATTGTAAGTGATGGAAACGGATAACCCCCTGCCGATCCCACGCTAATCTCACCGCATCTTCCGTGTGTCACAATTACCAGCGTATTAGGATCGTCGGGTCTGGGTCTCTCTCCCCATTCTACTCTCCATTTACCAATACTTTCAAGCCAGACTAATTCTTTTCGACCGCCGTTTTCCCTTAAATATCTCCGCAGGCTAAGATAGTAAGTAGCAGTGATCATTCCCAGACTAGGTGTTGAATAACGGCGGATCTGCTTATCAGATATGATATGATGTGCAGTGCTGTGGATCCCTCAAGCCATAGAAATACTACTTTGTAGGCTATAATTGTTAATCAATATAATATGTCATGGCCTTTTCGAGTCATGTTAACAGGAGGATGTCGTGGTGTCTGAGCTACATATTATGAGTAGACTAATTTGGAGTTAGCACTTCGGGCTGAAATTGCCTTTATTAAAATGTAGAGTAAGTCTCCCCGCTCGGGAAATCCTCCGGATCCATGGTTTTAGATATATAGGCCTCATCGACGTAATTCCGGCAAATACTTTTCCCTGTCTCGAGATCTCCGGAATTGGGGGATTGCGGACATGCAGGGTGCTGATTCTAGGGTTTCGCGCGGGTCGGCCGGTGCGAACATGTCCAGGGATTTGGGGAGTCTCGGTTTCATCCCCGTGGGACGATGGAATTTTCGGGATCCACTCTGGT